GAGTTACCAGGACTTCCCCATGAGCTCCCAAAGGAGATCAGCAACATGGACAATTTGAGTCTGCTTCCATTCACTCACTGCTTCTTCAGTTTCCCACCTCAGTCATGGGTGATCTTGCACTTGGCTGTGACCATGCACACACATCCCTACGAAGTCACTGAGATCCATGAGCATGGTGCTCACCATGAGGCCTGGAAGTTAGGACTTGCAGGCAGCTTCTATGCTTAGAGCAATGACAGCACTCCTGTTGTTGACCGAAGCACCAGACCAGGTGAACATTTTTCTGATGCTCTAACCCAGTCACCTTTGTGCCAAGTTACCTCCCAAGAGTCATATCTGCAAGTCACCTAGACTTCCTTGCTACTTTTACACTGAATTTTGGCATGTGGGAGGCACCACTGGAAGGCAGTAACACTGAAATCCAAGTCCCTCCAAACTCTGTAAACACATCTCCTGATGACGGTCTAGGAGGGTACAAAGCTGAAGTTAAAAGCCACTAACAGCTTTGCAAGCCCTTCCCTTGCAGGACACCTGTGGGAGTTAGTGCTTTGCTGTTTTCTTTCCCAATACCACATGTGACGGAGGAGGGATCACAAAGAACCATGTGACAGGGTAAGGGGCTGTGGAGACTGACAATGCCAGGAGCTCTTGTCTTCTTCCAAAATCCCTTTAAACACTTAAGGCAGAGGCTCATGCCTAGAGACTGCATGGGCCATGATCCTTCTTTCATTCCAGGACACCGAGCACAAAAGCAACTCGTGTCCACAGAAAACAAAAATCTTAAAAATCCGTATTCCTTTAACTGCATGGAGCCAGCTCTTTCACTTACTTACTCAATCTTGTCTTTCCCTAGATAAGACCCAATCTAACCTCACAAGCTGTTGCTGCAGGGTTTGGAACTGGAGAACAGATGATAAAAATATGATCCTTTTCAATGTTTTTTCAATGTATAGCTGTCTTCATTTGTTATCCACGAGGCTCTATTCACCCAAGAGGAGAAACAAAAAAGCCTTGAACCCTCCGTCTGCTTTCCCACTGCCAAAATTAATGTGCAGACTTTTTTTCTATAAAGGGAAGAGTTAGGTGGGAACAGCTCTTCTGACATGTTGACTAACAAAACGTGAGTGCTACACACCGTGCATGGAAGGGAGCCCAGTTTGGATTTGGGAGCTGCTCAGTCACATACAGGGCCCTTCATTGCACAACCTGGCACACAGACACACAGCTGTGCAACCCAGCTGCAAGACTGGGGAGGCCAACAGCTCCTTGAATTCCCCCCTGTAATCCAGCACTGCCACATTCAGGCAGTAACACTGGGGAAGGTATGCACTGCATGCACTGCATGACACCAGGCTGATAAGAGTTAAAATAAACTGGTTTGAGAAACAAGTCTCAGGACGGTAGGCAAACATTCATCCATATTACTACACACAAATAAAATTTAATTCCTTCTTAATGACCCAAAAATAAGACTTGACAGTGATGTTTTATTTAACAAAATAACAGATTGTTGCATATTCAGTGACTGTTACCATGGTGCTCAGCTATCCTTGAGCATATTATCTAGAAGAGTAATGTCCTCCGGGTATCATGGTGGTAAAAGCCAGCCCAGGACTGACATTGTACAAGTCGGTCTTTTTTTGTAGAGCTGTATTCTGAAATGCTTGGATCACTGACATGAATGTCAGCATGAAGGACTGCCATAAAGCTTCTGGCACTACCAGTGAGGTCATGATGGAACAGAAAGAGAAGGCCAGAGTATTTCTTTTTAAAATATTTTGAAGGAAAAATGTTTAGTGACTGCTATGGATGGCTGAGGAACAAGGCAGTCAAAGAAACGGATGCAGAAAAACAGCTGAAATACCTAGGCTTCTTCCTGATACCGAGGCTTCTTCCTGATGAAGACATTTCTCTCGAGCACGGCAGGTACCTCAGTGAAAAACAGATGATCCAAATGCATACTTTTCTTTGAACATATTACAGCCATTCCACACAGGTATTGTACTCATCACCAGTTATTCATTAAGCGGCATGACTAACATCTGTCATGTGGTGTTTGTTCACTCATTATCTGCCCATGGGTAAAGAAGTCTGCTGCAGTGGTATGCAAGTTGTTTTGGTAAAGGTTTTTATTATGATTTACTATGTGTTACTGTACATTCAGAGGATAAAATGTGCTTTTGTAAATACTTAAGCCAAAAGGTATGAACAATCCCATGGAGAATTTTTGAACTTTCCACAAATGCCTCATATAAAATTCTGCATCATCGGCAGACCACCCTTACCCTCTCTGTGTGCACTGGACTGCATCAAAGAAGCAAAACTGCTCACAATAGTCACGACAGGGCACCCCTCAACTTAGTTAAACCATCCATGGCTGGATGCATAATACTTGAAGGAAACGTTGGAGGTGTCTAAATTTCAGCAGTTAAAAAATAAATGAAAGATGCAGAGTTGACAGGCATTGAGAACAGTCATCAACCAGCCAAAAATAGGCTTCTAAGTGAAAAATGGCAGAGGCTTGAAGAGAGGCCCATAGTTCATACCCGGTATAACATGCAGTCTTTGCCACTACATGACAGGTTTCTTTTACCCAAATAATGTCTTTTACTTGCTCCATCTAAAACATTTTCTGACATTTATTCATTCATTCCAGGCTGCCCTAGGAAACATCTGTACAGCAAATGTGTCTTAGACATACAGCTTGGATGAAAGAGATTTCCTTTTGGACTGGACAGCCTGAAATAATGTCCTATGCAAATAATACAAATGATTGATATGTGTGGTATTGCTCACCACAGTGATTTCTGCTGTTTCTCCCTTGATTTTTAATGAGATTTAAAAGCCTGTGAGTGAATAACCCCAGCCTTTTGATTAACTTAGCTAGCATGAAAAGCTGTGGGGCCTATGTGGCAGGTGCTGTGGGTTGACAATAGGGGTACTGTTTAATCCAAGGGAAACAAAGAGAAAAGGGCCATGAATAAAAGGATATAGGATCTTTTCTGAGGTCAGGACAAGCATTTTAGATCAGGAGGTGCAAAGAGAGGCCAGCTACACAAAACATTCCTTCTTGCCACACTACTTGGCCAGCAACATGAAAGTGTAACTTGTAATTTGTTCTGCAAAAGACAATGGAATCAAAGTGAAATATCTAAGTGCCTGAAGTTTGTTGGTACTCAGTGGATCACCTCTACTTGCAGGAGTAGCCGGTTATGGTTCCTCAGGGAATAAACTATTCTTCTGGATGTTGCTCCTTACCAGGCTCACCTCTTTTAAACCCAGAGAAACACAAGGAGACAGTCTAACAAGTGCAATAGCATTTCAACACAGGGAAAAACGGTATGTGATTTACAGGCTTGTTTGTTTTTAAATATGGACTGACTCAGTTACTGGGAGTACTAATTATGCAATCAGTGATTGGGAGTTTAGAGTGGAAAGTATAAATGTTGAATCAAAATCACAAACAAACTTTCTGTAAAATGCCTGAAATTGTTTTTGCTCTTGTCTGCGCTCTGCAACTGCAGTGGGTTCAGGGTCATTCGTGTCATTCCTTGTGCCTTTAAGATACTGTTTCAATGTATAAATGGGCCTTTAGAGACTTAAAGACAGATGGAGAAGAGCACAGTTTCAAAATTTAATCAAATACCTTTCAGTTACGAAGCACAGATGTTCAGGGTCAGAAACACACAAGCGCAGCATTGCTGTAATGTACTGCTGCCGCTGTCGGAGTAACCTAACCACTTACAGGTGACTCAGAACAAGGTGCAAGAGCACCAAAAGGAAAATTATATCATAATTTGCCTACTGAAAGCTCTTCAATTCTTTCAGTCACTTGCCATAAGTACTTACATACAATATTTTAAAATCGGCAAGTGAGACAATGATAGATGCTCACATTATTCATTTGTGGCCAATGGCTTTTCAAGTTTTGCAAAGGTCTTGGGCCAAGTGATAACACCTGGGAATAATTTTCATGTGGTAATTGTGCATCTTGAAATTCTTTTCCTTTTAATTAAAAGGAAATTACAGCCTTTCAACTTCATGAAGCATCCCCCATTTTTCCCTTAATAAAAAAAATAGCATAATTTATGACATTTAAAAAATGTTTATTGATGTTTTTTTCTTGCTATTCCCTCTAATACATATAATTTTTTTTTTTAACTACTGCAGTTTGAAAATCTTTTTTTCTTTTTAATGCTTCCTTTAAACAACTGGAAAATCTTTTTTTCTTTTTAATGCTTCCTTTAAACAACTGGAAAATCCCATGCAAAGACTGATCACTTGATGTGCTTGTGGATTTCATAGTTTCTCCAGTCCTGCTTTTAGGCTGCTAGGAACTTCTTGCAGATGTATTTTTATTGACCACTATATACATTAGTGAAAGGACTGCTTAAGGACCATGTGATTTCTTGGGGGCAATATCACATGATTATACATTGTGCCTGATTGTTTTATATAGGTATCTCTAACCAATGCATGTTCCTCTGCCTTATACTCTCCTTTTTGTTCTGTTATACTCTCTTGCATATTTTCTACCTCTCTCCTTTGTCTTTCCCATTCTCATCCATTCCCCCACTTCCCATTTCAACTATATCTGCACAGGTTTATCTCAGCCTTTTGATTTCTGTACTCCAACTGAGTACCTATACACGCCAAATCTCTTAGTGTTGATGCAGTTGGCATGAACTACTCTACCTCTTGAGTGTTTACTTCCTGTTGAGGGGGCTGAAGGAGAAACAGAACAAGTTACCCTCACAAAAATGATGTTTGTAAGTCCACACCAGAAGCACTTTGCCAGTGTGTATAACACATCACTGTATCTCTCCCTGACCCATTTAAATTCGAACACAGAAGGGCAAGGGCTTGTGCGTGGCTGTAAGTGGCCCCAGAAGAGGGTTTCACAAACAGGATGAGCTTCAAGAGAGCTTCAGCTTGGAATATATTTTGAGCATCTTATGGAAAATCACTACCCAGTGTTTCCCCTCCCTCCCAAACACACAGACATAGCGATATTTATTGAGGGTACCAAAAGCATGTAAGAAATGGAGATGCAGTTTCTGCTCCTAGTGAACTGTAATGCCCACGTGTGGTCGTCTCAGGAAGGGTGAAATCTGCCGACGAACATCTTTTCTCCTCAAAGCTCCTGCACAGCTTCCCCTCATGCTTCCACACATCCAGGAAAGCCACAGGTCTCATTTCACAGCCTCCCGGCGTCGAAAACGAGAAATTCCGCTGAACCTGCCGGCATGAGAGAACAAGTAAAATAAAACTGAGCGACGTTACTCCTTCTTACCCTGACTCTGGGGAAAAGACAGAGAGGGACGCACGGACAGCTGCGGGCGCAGGGACCAAGCGCGCTGAGGGAGAAGAGGCCGGGGCCGGGCTGCCCTCCCGGCCCCACACCGGCTCCCGGCAGGCAGGGCGGGAAAAACGGAGGTCGCGGCCCCGCTCCCCTTCCCCCAGGCGGCCCCTCGGGGGCTGGCGATGGCGATGGCCGGAGCCCACCGCCTCCCTCCTGCGCCGCGGGGATCGCCCGCCCCCGGCCGGGCCGCGGGCCGGGTCCCGCCGCGCCCCGGCGGCCGCTCCCCGGCGGCAGCGCCGCATGCGCGGGCGGGGGGAAGAGAGGAAGCGGGAGAGCCCCAGATTCAAATCGCTGTTCTGGAGGGAGGAGAAAACTAGGAGAAGGAGACAGCCCGGGGGGAGTGGAGGGAGGAGGAGAGAGTGGGAGGGGAGTGTGGAAGGGGAGTGTGGAAGACTCTAAGGGAACGCGGCAGAAGCCGGGAGTGGAAGCACGGCAGACGGCCGGGGTAGGAAGAGGTGTCAGGGGAAGGACAGGGCGGCTTTGGGCACCCACCCGCCGCACTCCGCCCGCCCGCCCTCCTTGCCCGCCGCCAGCACCATGGTGGACAGGGGCCCCTTGTTGACCTCGGCCATCATCTTCTACCTGTCCATTGGGGCGGCGATCTTCGAGGTGCTGGAGGAGCCCCACTGGCGCTCGGCTACCGACAACTACAAGCGGCAGAAGACGGAGCTGCTCAAGCAGTTCCCTTGCCTGGGCCAAGAGGGTCTGGACAGGATCCTGCAGGTAGGTACAGCGGGCGCCGCCGGGGCGGGAACCGGGGTTAGGGCCGGGGGTGCCGGAGGCAGCAGCAGCAGCAGGTGATGGCGGGCGCCCTGGAGCGGAAAACCCCGCGCCCGTGGGCGAGCGGGCTGAGGAAGCAGCCGGGACCCGGCACAGCTCGACCGTGTCTGTGCCTTCACAAAGCCCGGTGCCGAAAACCTGTCCCTGGAGCGGGAGCGTAGGGAAACCTCTTAATCGTTCCTAACTACTTAATGACAGAGCTTGCTCTTTCCCTCTGAGTCCTAAAGGAGCTGGGGGTTGATTTTCAGCGGGCCGGCCCAGAGGTGCCGCCCGGAGCGTGCTCCCGCCCGCTGCTCAACCCGGCGCCCGTGAATGCGGCTCTTGTTTAACACCCACGGTGCCTCCTTCTGCCTCAATGGGTGTTGTGTTAAGAGGAAGGGAAGGTGAAGCCAAGCGTCTCGATCCTCTTGTGTTTGGTCTGATTTTCTTCCCTTTCGCTTTTTTAATTTCTTCCCGTACTAAATGCTGGAGAGGTGCCTGGGGGTCCCGCGGGTCAGTCGGGGTAACGGGAGGAAAGGGTGCCCGGCTCGCACGGAGGGATGCTCGCAACTCCTGCGCTGTTATACTCTAGGAGACTGACTTTTTCCCAAGCCATAAGGAGTTGATAATGGTCCTGTCTCGCTCATCCGGCAGAATGCTCTTCAAACCTAATTCTTAATCGATAGCGATTAAGAGAGCTATATAAACTTAGTTAATGCCTTCTTATGGATGTGGAATCTGTTAAAATGTCGTGGTAAGCAGTAGTGAACTATGCCCAGATGTGTGGGGCTCCAGTGGTGAGAGTGAGCCTTTTGGGACTTTTATTTCAGAAATGTTTATACCGAGTAATATTTTCTGTTATTATGTTTGGATTTTTAATAAAATTATTTTATTTTCAAATTCACTAAAAGTCGATTAAAATGCTCAAATACAGAAGAATGGCGAAGTGGCTCATTAGTTTTCTTGGTGTAATCGATACTATGCAAGCTTGGAAGAGTATAGATTCTTTATCCTAAAAGTTTGTGGTTAAAGTTCTCTTTCTTCGGTTGGTGGCTTCCTTCTGTCTGCTTCAGATAGCAGAGCGTTCTGGTGGCAATGACCTTATTGTTCCCGTCTTAGTGCCCTGCTAAGTGTCCGTGGTATTTAGTGGAACAGGTGGATAGAGGCTTGAAACTGTAAGGAGATGTTGGAAAATGAAAGACATGTTATGTGTTTGGAGTAGGTTTTTGCTATTTTGGAGTCGTAATGAAATCTTACTCTAGGTTATATCCCAAACCTGTTTTAATGTCCTCAGGGAAAAAAGCATTGTTTGGATTGAGATGTGCCTGGCACACTTAACTTGCTGCAGATATAATGCAGGATCTACATTCTGCCTTAATTTATTATGAAAATTATGTTGGTATGAGGGAATCATTAACAGTGTTTTATGTTTGGTTGTTTTTTCCCATTATGAGTATCACAATGAATCCTGAAGTGGCAGAAAGCTGGGGGTCTTTTGGTTTTGGGGTTTTTTTTCTTAAAATACAAATGATAATGAAAAAGTGTGGAGGGCCTTTCCTCTCCAATGCATTAGCTCCTGCTGATAATATCATACGTGGTTTGAGGTTTCCCTCTGCACTTCTTCCAATCCTATCCTACTTTCCATGTCCAGTCTTGCTAGTCTGATGATCCCACATAGATATTCTGTTGTCATCCTAAATTCAGGTTAGCTCAAATGTAAATGCCTTTATTTCATAGTTATTGGTAACTGCAAACTTTACTGCCTGCTGTCTTTTAGAGTTGTAGTTTTGTGCCTGTTCATATTCAAGTTCTATATAAGAAGTGATGGTAAAGAGGGGAGTGTGTCATATCTGCCAGAGGACAATGGTAGGGTGAAATCTAACCTAGCTGAAGCTAACTGATTGCGGGGTGGGGAATCATGTAAGGACATCAGGATTCTGTCCTAAATAAGCTGTAAAGAATATCAGAAATAGTCTTTGTAGTTGTCCTTTCTCAGCCACTCACTGCTGCTTCTCTTGGGTTCTGCCGAATCTTTAAAACATTGCTTGCATCTCTTTCACAAAACCTGATCATCCTCTTCTATTATTAAACCTCCAAATTTATTCTCTATTCACTACCAGAACATGTTGATTGAAAAATGGGCTTTTAACACCTCCCCACTCATCCTCATCCCCACTGCTATCTTGTTCCTCTGAGCCTCCTCTTCTAGCTTCTTCCAAAGACTCCCTAAACTTGTGCTTGGGATTTTGCGTGGTTTAACTAATTTTTCTGCTGTTGTCTCTTTTTTAATAGGTAATTTCATCTTGAAGCCTTTTATTTCACTCTGATGTTGGTCCCCACTGATACTCTTGTGACTTTACAGAGCCATGTTGAGCTTTGCTGTTACTTCTCTGATGTTCTATTTAAGACCCCCACTTAAAACATGCTGGATAAAGTTCTTCAGCAAATATCACCAGCTGTAGGATTTTAAATGGATGTTGGTAAAATGAAAGATGCCAAGAAATGTTCAAGTTGGACTAACAATACCAATTTTGTTTCCAGAAGCAGCCTGAAAGGTGACAAGGACTGACTTATTCAGAGACCAGTCTCTCTGCTGCCCTTGTTCCCCACCCAGGTTAGCTCGTGTGTTCCTTTGAGCCTGATGCTAGCTGTAAGTGCAATGGAAACTGTGTGGAATGGCTACAAAGCCAGATCTGTAGCGTTGATCTTGAGCACTTAAAAAGACAAATAGGTTATCAGCACAGATTCTCAGCTCATGTACAGACCAGCATCTCTGTTGTACCAAGAGTTTGACTGATTATTAAGTAGGCTGTATTTGGTCAAATACTGTCTAAAGTTTATATTCTGTAATAAAAATTTCACAATGTATTACAGTAGAAACACACCACAATAAATGTTTATTGAAATGTGTTTAACACACTTGCAAAAATTTACAAGCTAAGTATTGTAGGATATGCTAAAAAGAAAGCCTTTTCCCTCCATCCTGAGAAATGCCTAAAAATGAACTTGCTTAAAAGCAACTTTTACGAGTCTCTTGTGTGAAGAATCCATTTGCTTTTGATTGTTGAAAGTACCATACTATTTATCATAACTGTAAGAGGTAAAGTACTTAAACACTTCTCAGAGTAACGTTATGTGGACCCTGATTTTAAAGATAACCGACCCTGGGCAGTGTATAGGCTGATTTCTGCTTGTCCATGTTCTTCTGGGTAGAGCTGATTGCTCAGATATAAATGTGGCTGAGATGCCACATTATTCACATTATTTAAGCCTCCAAAGACCCTCAACCACAACTGTGTATTGACACAAGGAGCTGTGTAATCTCCCATCTCTATGTACAATTACTTTGGAAGAGAAATGTCTCATAACTCTTTGGAATGTGTGCAGAAATTAAAATTGTTAGTATTAATGTCACTATATCGTATTTATCTTCATTGTAGGATCTTAAAAGTAGTGTAACACCTTTGTCTGTTGATACAATTCTGTGGCTTGTCATTGCCACTTGTTTCAGTGGCCCTAAGTCCTGGGACTCTTTAGGAAGGGCAGCAAAGCAGGGATCCAGTGATGACACTTTTATCTACCCTGCTGTTAGGAGGGAGTTTGGAAGACTGAGCCAAATATAAGGTGATTCAGTCATTTCCCTCTCCTCCAGTTCCTTACTTTTACTCTTTATTGCTCCATCCTGGTTGTGAAACATCAGCTTCAATGATAAAGGAGCTATTCATGCAAGGAGGTGCCCTCTTGACCCTCAATTTTGTCTACTCACATGTGCAAAGGTTTGCCTACCCTGGGCCACGTCTTATTTACCAGGAAATCTTCTACTTGCCCACCAGTCATTGAAAAATGATACCGGTCCCACTGATAAACATCAAGGGTGGTGAAAAGAAAGGGAATCATTTGCAGATGAGTGAAAATGGTTGCTTTCAAAACAGTAATAAAATGAAAAGAGAAACTGCTGCCTGTGTTTAGGGGAAGCAGACAAACATATTGAGTATGAGAACAAATAGTAGGAGTCTTTAGTTAAGAAGTGTGTAAGACTCTAAGCAGGCCTGAGATATAGCTTTAGAAACCAAAATGTTTAGACTTAAAGCCCAGTGCAGTGAACAAACATTTTAAAAAACTTTTAAGGAGGGCTGCTGTAATATACATGGCACATGGTTTATGCTAAAGAAAATAACAGTTAAGTGGATTAATACTGGTTTCTCCCTTGGTTTTTAAAGCGTCTTCACTTTTCACAAGTACCTACAGGTGTATTTCCAGGATTTTGGTTTGTGTTTGAAGATGGTGAAGCTTGCTTGAATATTCTTGGAATTAATCTTAAATTGTTAAGAATATTCTCTCATTCCAAACATTGTTTCCCACGTTGCTTTAATTTCAAGCTGCTTTATTTAAACTTCAAGGTTTAAATCTATGTGCAACACTTTTGA